AAACGAATGGAAATTAATTTAATCTAGTAGTAACGTTTGGTCCTGCGCCCAAACAGAATTTTGGGATATCAAATTCAAATTTGGAACACAACATGATTAGATTTTAGAGTAAAACATGTTTCTGAACATATATTTCATATAAAGTTTGAAAATAGCATTTTGTGCATTTTTCATAACAATAAAGTTAAACTTAAAAAGTTCTTTTTTTTTTTTTTAGAAAGAGACCAAACTTAAGTCTTTCTTCAAGAAGTTGGGCAATTCTTTTTCAGATCTATGGTCAAAAATGTATTAACAGGTAATACATGGATTAAAATATAGTGAACGCATTTCACGGAAATAAATAAATAAATTAATTAATACAATTTTTAATTTTATTCACTACACGAGCAGCACCAAGATGGTTGTTGATATTTTGACCGATATTTCTTTTTTTTAATCATAAGCTAACTTCATTTTGATCGATTTTGCATGCAACAAGACGTTATCATTTTGAATCATAAGTAAATGTATCCTGATTTAATAATCTTTAGACATTTGCACTGGAAAACAATACAAAAATACTGAGGAAGAGGAGTGTGGTACAGTATTAAGTTATTTCCATTTTCTAGTGTTTGAAAGAAGAACTTTTTTTATTATTTTTAAATGAATTAAAAAGTAATGGCGATCTGTTGGATGTTGTATTTTCATTAGTGCTGCTATAAGTTTTTGTTTACATAATATATGTGTGTGTGCTGTGTATATTTATTATGTAGATATAAATGCAAACACATACAGTATATATTTTGAAAATATTTACATGTCTATACACATTTAAATATTTATATTCTTATATTTTATATTATATATAAATATATTTAATATATAAACAACTTTTTTCTTAAATATATGCTGTATGTGTGTGTATTTATACATGCATAATAAATATACACAGTACACACACATATATTATGTAAACAAAAACTTATTTTGGATGCGATTAATCGCGATTAATCGATTGAAGTCTTGCGAATACAAGACATTTATATTTAGAGATCATATTGTGCGCCCTTACTTCTCTTTCCTTAGTCTAGCTAGTAATCTCTTTCCTTACCTTAATACATGGCTGCCTTATTTAAATGCAATCAACTCAAGTCATTTCAACTTATGTTACATTAAACTGGCTTAAAAAAAGTTGAACCTTCTACAACTTATAAAATAAAGTTAACAAAATTGCTTAACTTATTTTGATGAGTTAAAGTCATGTAGAAACGCATGTTAGTCATATAATTTTTTACAGTGTAGAACGGTCTTAAAAAGGTCTGCAGAAACCCTGCTATGAATAGTTTTGTGTGTAATCGGTCCGTCTCGATTGCTCGGGTCTCTGTAAAAAAACAATTTTGTGGGAACGGAGCAGGTTAAGCTTCCCTGTTCCTCATCAGGAGCGTCAGATTGCCTGTCTGGGGCTTCGGATCGCCAGCCAGTGTGTGTGAAACGCTGAATTGCTCTGAAATGCTGCTCAGATTGAACCCAGAATGGAAATTGATGGTGTTACGGAGCCGGTGCTCCTGAGGGACCTGAGGAGCAGAGCTTTCATCAGAGATGAAGCCGGTCTGGAGGAGATGCTGTATGTACAGACCGCCATCACGCTTCCAGAAAGACAGATAATACATACAGTATATATATATATATATTAGTGCTGTCAAATGATTAATATATTTATTATGTATATATAAATGCACACACACATACAGCATATATTGTGAAAATATTTACAGGCATATATTTATATTCAGAAAATGTATATTATATTTAATATATAAACATAACATATTTTTCTTAAATATGCATGCATGTGTGCATTAATATATACTCAACAATTATGCACAGTACATACACATATCCTGTGTAAACAAAATATTTTATAAATCGCATTGTATATTGCATAAAAAAAATTAAACACATTACCCCCCCTCAAAAAAAAAAAGTTAAATCAAAGCAAAAAAAAAAATTTCTCATTAAAATAGCAAATAACATCATAACCCCCACCCCCCCCCCCCCCCCCCCCCCCCCCCCCCCTCTCCCCCCCCCCCCAACCATCAAC